GTGTTTGTGAGAGCAACATGGATTTGATCTGTTCTGAATCAACACATTCATATGTATTTCTATATTCCTGTAGCCCAGTGAGACCGTGATGAGTACTCGTTATATTCTGTATTGTTTAGATGCTGTAGTCTAGGGTTATACTTTCTTTTGTGAATTTGTAAATACTTGCTGCCAAAGTTCATTTAGTTGTGTATCTTTAAAACATGTTTACCTTGTGTAATGCTTGCTGCTGCTGCAACTAAATCATTTCCTAATGTTGGGATGAATGAAGTATCACAAGAAACAGACCATGCAGTTCCACAGTCTGACCAGCAGGTGGCAGGCTGTGCCCACTAGAGAGCAGTACTTATCCTCGAGATGCATTACTGTAATGTTGATCAGTAATAAAACGTGCAGCTGAAGCCTCATTCAATTGGAACGTGTCCCATGAGATGTGTTTGTTTTTAAAGTTTCCTTAACTCAGCGTGAATTGGGATTGGGTTTCATCTGGAGATTAGACTGCACAGTTATACTTCTACTGAAGTACAAGCTCTGAGTACTTCTACTTTTACTCAAGTACAAGCTCTGAGTACTTCTACTTTTACTCAAGTACAAGCTCTGAGTACTTCTACTTTTACTCAAGTACAAGACCTGAGTACTTCTACTTTTACTCAAGTACAAGCTCTGAGTACTTCTACTTTTACTCAAGTACAAGACCTGAGTACTTCTACTTTTAATCAAGTTCAAGACCTGAGTAACTTTTACTCAAGTACAAGATGTGAGTACTTCTACTTTTACTCAAGTACAAGATGTGAGTTGCCTACTTCTACTTTTACTCAAGTACAAGACCTGAGTACTTCTACTTTTACTCAAGTTCAAGACCTGAGTACTTCTACTTTTACTCAAGTACACGATCTGAGTCAGTGGCGTAGCCAGGAATTATTGTGTGGGTGGGCCTGGAGAAAGGTAGGTGGGGGAGACTTATTAAGCGTGGGGTCTGAGCTGAAACTTCATTAATGATTTTATTTATTTTGTCATGCACTAATTAAAAACTAATAATAAGCATAAGCATAAACTAGCAGTGAAAACAAAAACATAGGCACGGCGGCCTCATAATGTGTACAACTGAAATCCACATGATTGGCTCGGCGGCCACAGGTTGTATATCCGAGACAGTCGCACAGTGGGCACCTGGTGGCACACACTGAGATTCTTTTCATATTCAGCAAACTAACTTCACCGCGGTATCTGACCGATACAAATATGCACGATTTATTTGGGCTCCCCCTATTTATCTCAAAGTCGGCCTTCAGGGGAGCTCCCCCCCTCTTTAGGGGAGCCAAGCTCCCCCTGGCTCCCCCCCATTTCGAACAGTGTGTATGTGTACTTATATCTGCTATAGTGCCTGACACGTATATTTTTCTTGAATAAAGAAAACACTGTTTTATTCTGAAGTTCCCAGAATCCTCCAGCACTTCCGGTTCGCTCCTCGCTTCTCCTCCTGCCACTCGGGTGTTTCCAGGCTTGTATTCTGAGATAAATACCAGATAAATAACGATGTCTCTGGAGGTGGAATCAGCAGAGTGAGTAGTCCTGCTAATTACTCTTAAAGCTGGTTCATTCTTATAATAAATCGCGCAGTAAATAACCTTATCTTATAATGTTTTCTGTCACTGAGGCCTGTTTTATCCCCCTTTAGCATTCTGAGCTAACATGCTAACTAATAAACACCTTATGGAAACAGTTTTGTCTTTTTATGATTAAATTGCCGGTGATTTCAGTCTCTAAAGTTGCTCTGTTGTTCATCATCACATTCATTCTGTGTCTGCATTACTCCTCTCTAGTAAATAATATTAAAAGGTAGGAGAGTAAGTGTAAGTTAGCATGTGCTACCGTTAGCATTCCTCTGCCAGTTGCTACAGAATCGATGCTAAAACTCATTTCAATGTAAGTAACAAAAGTCTGTTTATTATTATTATATATATCGTTTAATGATCCACTCAAACTTCTAACACGTTGCAATTTAAATAGCTTTGAAGTGATATCATATTCCATACTGTAAATGATTTTGACTGTATTTAAGAAGGGATAATGCACATTAAATAACTCTTAATTCCATCATGGAAATTAGCCAGATTTCGCCTCAGAAGCTAATGTTTACCTGGCAGGAGGATAGCATTAATATAAAGACACCTGGCAGGAGGATAGCATTAATATAGAGACACCTGGCAGGATGGACTCTTGATTGCAGAACACACAGTTAAAAGCCCTTTATATAAAAACACAACATACTTTAAAGCACATTCAGAAGCAAGGATAGCAAAGACAGAGTGCTTCCACATTCCTCTGTGTTTCTGCACATGTTTTTTTAATGTTGTGTACTATGGTATGTCTTGTAAATGTGTTCCTTGTATTTCAACTATTCCTCTCACTGGGTGTATGTTTGCACCGCTACACACGTTTAAAACCTACTTGCCAATGACCAGATCTAGACTCAGAATACTTTAATGTGCATTACATTGACACACAATGGACCTTTGTCTTTGGCACTGGCAACTACGATAGAATAACACTCGCTAGTTCATACACACAGAGAAGGAGAGATATTACATCTGAAAGGGACAGTCTTAATAAAAGTGGTTTGTTCTTCCACTACCTTGGGTCCTTTAAAACACCAACATTTATAAATGTATACATTTTTAAAATAAATAACCCTAACCTAGAATATATATATATATACCTCATTGTGCTTCTGCTTGGGCTCCGTTGCAATATTTGTTTACCCTAAAAACGGTGATAAACAATGTTTTTAAGCCATTTTATAATGTGTCTCCTCTTAATGCTCTTGATGTCTTTAACTTTTGTAACGCACTTTGAATTACCTTGGTGCTCTGTAGATAAAGTTGCGTTGCAAAACAAAGCACATTCCCTGTATGTGTGTAAAACCTACTTGGCATTAAACCTAATTCTGCTTCTGATTTGACTAAGTGCATTGTTTGTTGACCTGAACCTCTACATCCCCTGTGTCTCCTCAGTGTGATCCGTCTGATCATGCAGTACCTGAAGGAGAACAACCTGCAGAGGACGCTGGTGACGCTGCAGGAGGAAACCACCGTCTCTCTGAACACCGTGGACAGCATCGAGAGCTTTGTGGCCGACATTAACAGCGGACATTGGGACACGGTCCTGCAGGCCATCCAGTCCCTGAAGCTGCCCGACAAAACCCTCATAGACCTCTACGAGCAGGTGGGGTGCTAGTGCAGTCTACATGCAGTTTAGATACAGTTTACATACTTAACATACAGTTTACATGCAGTTTACATACTTAACATACAGTTTACATGCAGCTTACATACTTAACATACAGTTTACATGCAGTTTACATACTTAACATACAGTTTACATGCAGCTTACATACTTAACATACAGTTTACATGCAGTTTACATGCAGCTTACATACTTAACATACAGTTTACATGCAGTTTACATACTTAACATACAGTTTACATGCAGCTTACATACTTAACATACAGTTTACATGCAGTTTACATGCAGCTTACATACTTAACATACAGTTTACATGCAGTTTACATGCTTAACATACAGTTTACATGCAGCTTACATACTTAACATACAGTTTACATGCAGCTTACATACTTAACATACAGTTTACATGCAGCTTACATACTTAACATACAGTTTACATGCAGTTTACATGCAGTTTACATGCAGCTTACATACTTAACATACAGTTTACATGCAGTTTACATGCAGCTTACATACTTAACATACAGTTTACATGCAGTTTACATGCTTAGAATACAGTTTACATGCAGTTTACATGCAGCTTACATACTTAACATACAGTTTACATGCAGTTTACATGCAGCTTACATACTTAACATACAGTTTACATGCAGTTTACATACTTAACATACTTAACATACAGTTTACATACTTAACATACAGTTTACATGCAGCTTACATGCTTAACATACAGTTTACATGCAGTTTACATACTTAACATACAGTTTACATGCAGCTTACATACAGCTTACATGCAGTTTACATACTTAACATACAGTTTACATGCAGCTTACATACTTAACATACAGTTTACATGCAGTTTACATACTTAACATACAGTTTACATGCAGTTTACATACTTAACATACAGTTTACATGCAGCTTACATGCTTAACATACAGTTTACATGCAGTTTACATACAGTTTACATGCAGCTTACATACTTAACATACTTAACATACAGTTTTCATGCAGTTTACATGCAGCTTACATACTTAACATACTTAACATACAGTTTTCATGCAGTTTACATGCAGCTTACATACTTAACATACAGCTTACATACTTACATACTTAACATACAGTTTACATGCAGTTTACATGCAGCTTACATACTTAACATACTTAACATACAGTTTACATGCAGTTTACATACTTAAAATACAGTTTACATGCAGCTTACATACTTAACATACTGTTTACATGCAGTTTACATGCAGTTTACATGCAGTTTACATACTTAACATACTGTTTACATGAAGTTTACATACTTAACATACTGTTTACATGAAGTTTACATACTTAACATACTGTTTACATGCAGTTTACCT